ATATATATATATATATAGTATATATATATAGATAGATAGCCTAATAAATAAATACAAAAAAACACGAAGAAAATAAAGAAAAACAATAAGTTTCATTTATTGCCCATAAGCTGCAAGTAAATAGAACTCATGAAATAAGTTTAAAATGAAGATAAAACAAAGAAAAATTACAGACTAATGAAAGCAGGCGGAAAAAGAAAATTAATAATAAAAATAGCAAAAACTGGAAAAAAAATCCGAAAAAAAAAGCATAGAATTCTTTTAAAAAATCCGGAAAATAAAAGATATAATCTTTTCATCAGCCCACACAATTATATCCGCAAAAAAGAGTGCTTTATAATATTGTATCAATACAGCCAAAGCAAAATATATCAATACAATAGTGTGAGGAGCACTCAAAACATTTAATTACGAAAATTACAACAAATAAAATAGAACACAATAAGCAAAAATAGCACATAAAAACAGAAAATAAAATATGAAGAAGAAACAGAATAAAACATAATCTATAAAGCGAGTAGCGAAATCAAATGAACTTTTTTTTGCGGATATAATCGTGTGGGCTGATGAAAAGATTATATCTTTTATTTTCCGGATTTTTTAAAAGAGTTCTATCCATTTTTTCGGATATTTTTTCCCTCCAGCTTTTGTTATTTTTATTATTAATTTTCTTTTTCCCCTTTTTTTCATTAGTCTGTAATTTTCCTTTGTTTTATCTTAATTTTGAGCTTATATATATATATATACATATATAACACTCAGTCAATTTTGTTAGCATTTTTGATGTAGCCCAAGATATTAATTGATAAACTATGTATGATAATACTATTCTATTATAGGTCCTGTATACAAGTTAAAAACGTAAAATAAGTTCTTTTCAGTGGACATAAAATAAACTAATTCCAGAATATATTTTTATTATTTTTTTTAAAGAAATTTTTTTTAAAAAACGTTTTATAAAACAAATAAATTTCTAAACTTGATTTACCTAATTAATTCATTTTTTAATCTGGATTCATGACTTTCTCCATGAAGCCGTGCCATAACACAAACAGAGTCACTATTACCCAGATGACGTACATATCCACCATCAATTCTAACTTCTGATTTAGAATACTTAATTTCTATTGTAGTGAAAGACTCTGCGTAGACAATAAATTCAGTCATTGCAACCTAAAAATTAATTTAAGTCAGTATATTTTCTGAAATTTATTTTTGTGAACAATTTAATTAAATAAATAAATAATCCTTTAGTCACCCTTATATTTATTAAATATTTTCCAATGGATAGGTAATGTTTCGGTATAAGTAATTGTCTTTGGTGCAGTATAGTAGGATCTTGAAAGTTCACAATAGATCCTGTCTCATCTTTTACAGTCCACTTGTACTTCACACTATTTTTGGCGCAATTGCATAAAATTTCAGGTTCAACTAACACATCATCAGCTACATTCGCCTGCAAAAAGTTTAAAAGTATAATTAAAAAGTAAAATGAATTAATATTAATGATTCTTATTAGTAAATATGCAAGCGCTAAAGTTCAAAAGCTATTAACATGCACAATCTCTGCAGAATAGCTAGACTAATCCATTAAAGTGCGGAATCAAGAGTTTTCCGAAAAAGTACCTGGATAATTAGAAGGCTTCATACCCTTAAATTAAAAGGCTATTTTCTTATTCTATTAATTAATTTTTTATTAGTATTGATTGAATTTCTTTGATACTAAAAAATAAATAAATGACAATGCGTTAATTTCCTTAATTTTATGGCTGCGGTCAGTAAGCGGGTGGGTGATCACTTTGATCAACATGCGTAGGGACCGAGAGTGCACGGAATTGGTCCTCGTTAAATTGTTTTACCGTTAAGACTCATAAGTTGTTTACTCATAACCTCATATAGTCATAAACCGTTTACTCATAAGTCGTCCGGCTACCAAAGAAGGAGAGCCATCTCCTCTGCAGAGGATCAAAATTGCGATGGCATGTCTTTGGATCATCCTCAAGGATATTTACGGATCATCATCAAGGATATTTACGGATCATCATCAAGGATATTACCCAGACAGTCGCCAATAGCCCATTGTGCAGCTCTAGTGCGATGTAAATAAAGTACCTACCTACTTTAATTGTATTATTCAATTACGATAAGTTGGCGAGAAAATTTAACGGAAGATTTTATTTTTTATTGTGGGAAAAGTCAAAGCGCATGAAATTCGAGTGTAATTCGTTCGTTCCGAACTGGCGTACCATTTTGATTCTTTAGTTCACTACGCAAGAAAGTTCTTTAAATTAGTTAAATGTTTTATTAATTTTTTAAAACCAATATGCTAAATAATTCCCTTTAACCCCATTCTCCGCTTATCTGTCACTTCAACTTTTCTTGCCTTTTTCTCCGAAATCGCCGGAATAATCTCGGTTCGCTTTACTCTCACTTAGCTCAAGTCAATTCTTGATGGAAGTTGTTGTTGTTGTTAATTTACGTCGCACTAGAGCTGCACAATGGGCTATTGGCGACGGTCTGGGAAACATCCCGGAGGATGATCCGACAACATGCCATCACAATTTTGATCCTCTGCGGAGGGGATGGCACCCCCGCTTCGGTAGCCCGACGACCTGCGCGCGAAGTCGAGCACTTTACGGTAGCACAGTTTAACGAGGACCAATACCGCACACCCTCGGTCCCTACGCAGACTGATCCAAGTGGTCACCCACCCGCACACTGACCGCAGCCAGTGATGCTTGACTTCGGTGATCTGCTGGGAACCGTGTCTTAACGATCAGTCCACTGCGGGACTTTTATGGAAGAACTATAATTGTGATGTTGCTACATCACACGTGCGTTGTTTTTCTACTCCTCAATTAACCATTCGATTGTTTCTGTTCCGCAGTAGGCTGATCTTAAAGACCTAGTTTCCAGAAGAACACCGAAGTCAAACAACACGGACTGCGGTCATTTTGGTGACCACTTTGATCAGCCTGGATCAGGGGCCCCCATCAGGGAAGGTGGGTGCACAATGCGCCCACTTAAAGCTTGGGGGGGGGGGAAATTTTACACTAAATAAAACGAATAGTTTGGGGGGAATTTAGAATTTGCCCAAGAGCTTGGGGGAGGATGGGGGCCACTTGCTTGGATAGGAACTTACGCGGTATCGGTCCTCGAAAAACTGCTATATCGTAAAGGGCGCGACTTCGTGCGCAGGCAGTCGGGCTACCAAAGCGGGGGAGCCACCACTTCAGCTAAGAACCAAAATTGTGATGGCAAGTTTTTGGATCATCTTCTGGAACGTATCTTAGATCGTCGCCAAAAGCCCATTGTTGTGCAGCTTTAGTAAGACAAAATAAAGTACTACTACTCGATTCTTTGCAATATGTTTATTAAAGGATTGATGACAGATTCTATCAACAAATGTGTTAAATATTTGATTGTAGTAACTTAATTTCGCTATCTAAAAAGATAGCGAAAAATAAATAGATAGTATTAAGCTAACTATAAGCATACTTGTAGTAGTTCTTTTACACAATTCATTGCACAATGGGCTATTGGCGACGGCCTGGGAAACAGCCCTGAGGATGATCCGAAGACACGCCATCACAATTTTGATCCTCTGCGGAGGGGATGGCACCCCCGCTTCAGTAGCCCGACGACCTGCACGCGAAGTCGAGCACTTTACGGTTGAACAGTTTAACGAGGACCGATACCGCGCACTCTCGGTCTCTATACACGCCGATCAAAGTAGTCACCCACCCGCAGTTAAAACATTATATCGGAAACAATTCTTCATATGTCTAAATAGCAGTATGTAAATTTCTCCCCCTCATTTCTCTCTCTTGTTAAAAAAAAAGCGAAAGGCTGTGTAAAATTTTTAACTTATTACTAGGAAACTGCTTAAAAGTTTGCCGCATGTATGAATATTTTTCTCTCTTTTTTTTTTGTATTGCTGAGTTTAGAAACTTTTTTTTCTTTTCTTTACTGTATGATTATTTTTTCATTAAATTAAAGAAAAGAAAAACTACCGTAGTTTTAACTTTGGGTTATCAGTAATATTATTTTATCAGCTAAGATTCTACCGCCAACAACACGGTGAAAAATGAGTATTCAAATATCACGAAACTTTCCTCGTTTTTAATGACACCGTTTCCTGGTATATGCTTTAAGCAAAGATTTCGAAATAACTCTCGCCACTTCTTCAAGAAAACGAAATTTAGTCAAAATTAAAAAAAAATATTTCACGATATATATTTTTTCAAGAAATAAAAAACGAAGAAACCTCGTAATGTATATAACTTTTCTAATAATCACTTTAACGGGGGCACCATATAGATCACACAACACAGCAAAGACAGATAGAACAGAGAGACAAATTACACCCATGCCCGAAGCAGGATTCGAACCCCGGATCAACTTATCTTGACCACCATCCTGGCCGGTCAGCTTATTTCGTCATTTTATTTTCGACTGTCAAGTCTTTATTCTAATTTAGTCATTCTAGTTAATAATCTCCCAGCATGCACTACGATGAGGTGTTTCGATTTGAGGGAATGTTTTCGTTATACGTTTGTGTGTGCACACTTAGTCACAATTCACGTGATTTCGCTACGAAATAATTTTCAAAATTAATGAAATATTGCTTAAAGTTTTTTGCTGATTTTTTTCAAAAATGGGAGTTTTATTTCTGAGAGTGAGCGATTACCATTTTCTAAATGCCATGTTAGATAGATGACAATACTTACAACTCTATTCTTTTCACTGAGAAAAGTTATGTGAGGTTTTTGACAGAGCTGATGAAGGAAAAACATGTTTGTAGTAATGTTATCGTGACTGAAGGCATTCCAAACATTGACGGTTATCCAATATTCTCCCACGCTAAAAATGAAGAGAAAAACACAACTGCAATACATTTTCAAAACAAGCGTGAAATAAAGTTCAAAGCTGAAACTTATAATGTGTTACGAAATGAGAGAAAATCTTTCAAAATTGCATGAGATAAAACATCTACTTTTTTGATGAAAATATAAAACTACTCCACTTCACTTCCGAGAAGCCAGCCTGTTTTCCGCAGTCTCGGAGCTTTCATTTTTCATTTACTTACAAACTTACTTTTACAAAATATACTTACAGAGCAATTTACATAACGTTAAAAATTTAACTGTTTTCCTATAAATTACAACTCCAAACATTAGATTAACAATCTATTGATTGGAACTTAAAAAAGGCATTTTTTTTAAAAGTTAAGTTTAAAAAAAAAGAATAGAGTCGTAATGATAGCTTTAAATATGATTACTGAATAGACTAATTAAAGTGATACGTCAAAAACCTGGAAAAATATTATTAAAAATAAGAGGAAATCGAACTTTTCTAGAAATTGTTTTGTAATTCTCTGAACAAATTGAAAATACATAGAAATTTACGTTAAAATAAAGAAAGTTAACTATATTTTGTAAGGAACAAGTTAATAACTTTGAGTCCTGCAAAATCGAAGTATTTATTTTCCGCAAAACCATTAGTAATAATAAGATGCCATCAGAAAATGCAAGTAAAGAGCGAAATCAAACTTTTCTATGTTATAAGAAAATATTTTGTAGTCTCGCAAACAAATTTATAATGCTTAGAGATTAACGGTAAAGAAATCAAAATTAACCGGATAAAGTAAGTATCATATTACTAATTTTGAGTATACGCAAATACGCAAAAATAAGCATTTGTTTTCAACAAAATCATTCGTAAAATTAAGAGATCATCAAAAATGAGGGTTTGCAAAATCAAGCTTTTTCATATTTTTAGAAAATGTTTCGTAATTCCATAAACAAATTTAAAATGAATTAAAATTTACGATTTTGAAGAATATTTAACGGATTAAGTAAGGAACAAATTAACAACTTTGTACCTACTATAGAAAACATTTGTAAGTGGCTTATATATAGTTCATCAAGCAAAAATTTAAAATGGAGAAAAAAAAAAGCGAAATCGAGCATTTTTTATTTTTGCTTTTCGAAGTATTTTTTAATTCCTTAAACAAATGGCATGAGAATTAACATTAAAGAATGGAAAATCAACCGGATTGAGTAAAAAAATAATATTTTTCAACCTACACATAAATTAAACATTTCTGAGTGGCTTATATACATTTCCTCATACAAAATTAAAATCGAACTTTTCTTTATATACTTCTTAGAAATGTTTCGTAATATCGTAACAAAATTGTAAAATTCATAGAAATTTACGATGAAAATAAAGTAAACTAAACGGATTAAATAAGGAACAAATTAATAAATTTGAACCTACGCTAAGAAAATAAAGAAGCATCTGCGAATGGCTTATATATATTTCCTCATGCAAAAACTAAAAATTGGGAAAAAAAGGGAAATCGAACTATTTTTTATTCTTTTTAGAAATGTTTCGTTATCCCGTAAATAAATAAATTGAAAATTCATCGGAGTGAACAATAAAGTTCTAAAAATTAGCCGGATTAATTAAGTATCAAATTAATGACTTTGAGCCTAAGCAAAAAATAAGCATTTGTCTTCTGCAAAAACATTAGTAAAATAAGAGATCATCCGAAAATGGAGGAAAAAAGAAAAATTGTACTCTTTCATTTTTTTTTTTTTTTTTTTAGAAAATATTTCGCAATCCCGTAAACAAATTTATAATGTATAGAAATGCAAGGTAAAATAAAGAAAATTAATCGGATAATAAAAGTATCTAACAAATTAATAAGTTTCATTTTGAGCAAAAAAAAAAAAAAAAAAAAAAAAAAAAAAAAAAAAAAAAAAAAAAAACAATGATTAAGATTGCTTGGTAGTAAAATCCAATGATTAGATCAGAAGTTGTTTCTTTTTTCCATTTTGCGCGCGCGTTATATAACATGCATTGTTTAACAATAACAAAACGTGCTTTACAAAACAAACAATTGTAAGACATACTCAGTGTAAGAGTGCTGAACAAAAGAAGAATGTGTTGTTATAAGAGGAGTACCATCACCAAAATCCCATTGAAAAGTTAAGTTAGAACCAAACCAGTACATAACATGAAATGTAATAAGATGGTTTACAAGATTGGGTCCTTGGCATAATATGGAAGTCAAGTTGGCAACTTTCTGCACAAGATGCAACTGGAGGGTTGATGAAGATGTACTACTGATATGATTTTGAGCTGTTACATTTATTGTGTACCTAAAAAAGTAAATAAAACATCAAGTCAAATTTTCTCTAAAAAAAAAAAAAAGTTAAGTAGGGTCGAGCGTATTTCTTGCAAGATCTGATTTAACGAGATTCTGCGTATTCTCTAAATGGTTGGTTTGGCTTTAAACTTATGGTTGGTTTAAATAAGTTAAACAACATAAAGACTTTTTCAAGTTTCAGCTTTTTTGAGGTTTGATTGATGTCGGCAATATTAATAATTGTTCCATAAAGAGCATAACTTGGATCTTACTAAGAATTTGACATAGATTTATGGAAAACTATTTAATTAAAACTTTCGGAAAAAAAAAATCTGACTATTTGTAGAGGTGTTTTTGAAGTCTTAGTCTTCCTAAAGGGTTTGAGAAGGTGCAAGTGCCATGCGCATCGAGTTGTACCTCAGACAAAATGCAGACTAAAAGCACTTAAATCAAACACAAACATTTGTACCAAAATAAATAAATAAACAATGTAAGGACAGCGTTTTTTAACCACATTCTAATTGATTTTCGTACAATTCAGTTTTTATTTTTAAAATTTTAATTTCGTTTTTAAAGAGCCTTCTGATTTAATGACCGAAATGCCTCGGGCCTTAAGTTCACATTACAAGCGTGTTTGATACATTTTACTAATTCGCTTAATACTTTTAAACTACAAAAAAAAAAAAAAAAAAAAAANAAAAAAAAAAAAAAAAAAAAAAAAAAAAAAAAAAAAAAAAAGGGTCTCAACTTTGTTTCCTAAAACAATTCTTCAAGTTTTCCTTTCCTTTCTTTAAATTTGGTGTCTTGTCTAATTCTTACACAAAACATCAAAGGAGACAATTGTCTAGTAACTGAACAGATAGTTGCAGTTATGGTCATTGATTATTATTAAGTTAAAAAATTTGTCATAGGATGAAAATCCAAATTCGAAAATCTAGGTATTTGTCTTGGGGAAGGGAGGAAAACTGTTCTGGTTTTTGGTATTTAGTACACATGAAACTTAAATAACAAAGAGATGAAATAAAACAAATACCATCCAGCAGTTTGATAATGATGTTCGAGAAGGGGAATATTCGATCTTTTTAGTTCAGGAGTTCCGATATTCCATGTGAATCGAAGAGCCTTCTCTGTGGATGGTAAAACTTTCGCAATAAAACTGATCTTTCCCTCTAAAGGCAGTTCAATGATATTCCTTTCACATACTTCTTCACCATCGATTTTCAAACAAATTTTTATACCTTCAAGAAAATAAAGAATAATCATAAATATTTTTTTACAGTAATATATATGTTTATAAAGGATATAATTTGTTATAAAAACGTTGAAATATAATTTAAAGATACATATATTTGAGAAATACTATTTTGCGCTGAATCCAAAATATAAGCTACCTTTCCTACTATGAATATTTTTCTCCTGAACTTTTTAGCTGAAACGCAACTTTTACTAGAAGAGAACTAAGAACAGTTGTTACTTTTACTACTAGCAACGTTTAGGATACGAAATTTTTTTTTTACTACTTCGGATTTGAATTTCGACGACTGAATAATGCAATGTTATCAATAGCTACAGAGAAGGCCAATATTCGAGTTCTTAAGGTACTTTAAATTCAAGGTTTTAATTTGAGAACGATTTTTTTAAATTTTAGTAAAGTTGCTTTAATTCAGATTCAAATTTTTATTTTTTCAAGCGGATATGAATTTATTCATTTGCTAGATCACAGCTACCATTCATAAATTCAGATTAATTTTTATACAGTACATTAAAAATTATATTGTTTGGAAACAATTTTCGATTTTGTATTTTATTATTAAAGCAGAAAACAATCCGTTACAATCCTACTATTGGACTAAATTCCTATTGTTTGTTAGGGTATGAATCTTTTGTAAACGTACAAGAGGCTGGATTAAAAATAATTTTTATAATTGTTATGACCAATAAATAAGGCTAGTTTAAAAACAAAAAACCATAAATAGTTGACATTGACCAACAAACTTATCTACACTGACGCCATGAATAAATTAAAAAACAAAACGCCATTATGGTAGGTCCTTCCTCTTAACTAGTAGAGTGGAAATTCAGAATCTGATTGCTTGAAAACAGAGCTAATTTCGACACAACCGATGTACCGGTCTCAACCCACTCTCCCCTACATTTTATTAGGTAATGCCAATTAAAGAAAACAGTAACAGAAAAAAGTAATTTTACCACTTAAAATAACCAAAAATCTGTACCTTTTAATTTTTCTTGAACGTAGATTTTAGAAATTGCCTTGGGTCTTGCAATAGTTTTATAGGCAAAATCTGTCACCTTATTGTATGCTTCAACAGATAGAATGTATATCCCAGGTTTCAACAAAAATAAGGAAACAACATCACCTAGAAAATATATGTTAAACAGTTGGAAATGGTACAAAGATAAATAAATAAATAAAATAAACGATTTCGTGTAAAATTAACAGTAAAAATTGCCAAATATACTGTGATTAGCTTATTAATGGTTATTAAGTTGTTATTATAAGTAAGAAAATAAATAAATAAATAAAATTTTATTGCCGTATTCTACTTAGTTCTTCAGGGGTTTATTTTCTGCAGATATATATAGGCTTCAGCAAACCGAGGTGTCACATGACGATTCGTTCTTTTTTGTTGATTTTTTTCTCCCTCTTCTATTTTTGTTCATAGTTTTTAACATTGTTTAATTTTGCTACACATGTTAATTTATTACGTTGAGCAGCAGTAGAACCTTTGAACTTTAAATTTAATACATATTATTATATTTTCTAAGTTGAAGGGCTAGAAAAAATAATTAAGAGATAAGGATGCGGCGAAGCACCTAATTTAATAAAAATGAAAATAATACTTAGAATGTTATTTACATTGACATAAATGATTTTTTCGGAAATAACACAATGATTGGTCATTTTTCAGCTATATCACTTTAAAGATGCAACAGAAAAGTAAGGTTGAAATGATTTTTTTAAAACTTAATTTCATTTTTTAATGTAATTTTTTAGTTAGTTATGCACTTGTATTTTAATGCCCTATGATTTAATGCAATTCTTTCCTCTATCAATACATTTAAGGATTAATAAATAAAGACTTTTTACTAAAATGTTCTTTTTAGGCCCGTAATTAAAGAAGTGTAGTAAAATTTCAACTTAAATACAGAGTAAAATAAAATTTCGGAGATAATTGTATGTATGAGAAATGTATATTAATTCTGTTACAATATCCCTGTGCTACTTGGATGGTTTGAAGAGGCGACCTTAGTATGATAATTAATTAATGCAGTAGATATTTTAAGCTACGAAATCAGAAACAAAATTGTACTTTCTCTGAATGAATATGCCTTTTTCATTTAGACCAAGTTTGGTTTCTGACCTCAAAATATGGGGGGGGGGGCTGTAATCTGGGAAATATGGTTCCAATAGTTTGGTTAGGAAAGTGATTCAAAGTTTGGTCCCTTGAAAGATAATTTTTTTTTCTTATTTCGCCCTATCTGGAGAACGTTTTAAACAAATGTGAAATTTTTGCACACAATAATAAAATCGTATATCTAAAGATAATTCCATGCAAAAAATAACTTTCAGTAAATATTTACTATTTTTCATTATTTTATTTATTAATAGTCTATAAAATTTTTAATTGTAAGGAATACTATTTTTTTATATAATTTAAAAAGAATGTATTTTTGCATAGAAAAATACGAAATTTGAGCGAAATCGGTCGTATAGTTCCTGAGAAATCAAATTTTATAAATTCAACTTTTCTAAAATTCGATAAAAAGGTATACTTATTCAGAAAAAAAGAACGTTTTTGTATCTGAATTCTTAACTTGAAATATCGTCTGTACTAATTAATTAACATATTTGAGGTTACCCTCTTGAACCATTAAGATTGAATCATAGAACGTGAAGATCCGATTATTGGATCAAAAGTTATTCAGGGTAGTCCACTTTTTTTCTTTACTTCTATCAATTCGATTCATTGTAGTGTTATATTAAGACTACTTGAATAACTTAGAATTATAATGTAAAGTTTAACTATGCTATCATGCATATTAATTCTTCCTGATAAATCAATACTATGGTACAAATCGAACTGCAGCAAATTTACTGTCCTATATCCAGGATTACAGATCTTATGGTTCAACATAGGAAAGATTTTTCTGAGAGTGTACATCGAATTTATTCAGTTACAGTAATGTAGAAAAATCTCACCTGTATCATCAAGTAGCTGGTCATTCAACACCCAGTCGAAAGACACATTTGTTCCACTAGTTATCGATGCTTGTACAGTCAAGTTGTCTAAATACTGGATAATATAATACTGTCTATCGAGTTTCAAGCCTTCAGGTGGGAACTGTACATAAAATGGATGAGGTAGCGATTGATTCATAGAATCTAAGGGATTGGTGGCAGTCACTTTGACATCGTATATTCCTTCTGAAAGGAAAATGAATTCATGGCAATGGACAGTTGTGGTTTTGTTATGAAATACGCAAAGATTTTAAGAAGGCAACTTTCAACAGAGTTATATTATCTCTAAATTCGTTTAAATCTAAATATCATGTGTGGCTTTATAAGTAAAACAGCGACCTATTTTTTTCCTTACATATAATGATGTTATTTTAAAGGACATATAGTCTTTTTTTCTATTTCGATGCTTTTTTGTAGACTTTTAGAACGTGCCTCTGTGCCTTTTAGAACGTTTTAGATATGCCTCAGTCATACCAGCTCCCTGCCATTTCCTTGCATTGCTCTTCATTTTTTTACCTCTTCGTTGGAGCTGAATCGCTTTCTGGCTAAATATTCCAGAATGCCAAAAGTGAGTTGATGATATAAAAATGGTTAGATGTTGACTGATGATGTAAAACCGGCAAGATGTTGTAAAACTGGTGATGATGATGAAAAACTGGTGATGTAATGATAAATGATGATAAAATGATGTAATACCGGTATCAATATTGCAAGAAAGTGGCGATTTAAAAGACAACGAAGTGAAAGATGAGGATAAATTCTTAAGAACATGTCAGGGAGCTGGTTTGACATGGACAAACACAAATTGTTAGTATCAACAAACATGCGTCGATTGAAGCTTCACTTATGTGGAAAAAATATAAATTTAAAATTTAACTTTTTAAATGATTTAAAAATATAGAAAATAAATGTTTCTATTTTTATTTTTAAAGACCTTACTTTTTAGATTGCCGTGGTAAGTATTAGTATTACAGGCCGGCACATTTTTTATTCATACCAAACATATTATCGATGCATATAATTAGGCTAAGGAAATTTCAGAGAAATACTTCCGTAAAGTTTATACCGATACAATAGTTTATATACAATTATCTATTTAATCGCAAATAAGGACAAAACGTTTATTGGCATTATCGATTAAGTTTGTAGCAACATGCACAAGTTAAATAGAAGTAGATATTTACTAAGAGGGAACAATATTATTGCACGACCAAATAAACTCAAAGCTCTAATTATAATTCAAAGTACACACTTTATTCAGATACTTGTAGATATTATGGTAAAATATTCAGAAGGTATAAGCTGTTTAAATTTTCGATTATAATTTTTCTCAAGATCGCTTTTAATTAGATCGTTAAAATTATGTAGCAAAATCCTAGAATATAATTGTTCAGTTCAAAAAAAAAAAATTGGATTTTACGCGCTCATAATGTGACTGAGGGTTTATTATCCTGTTAACCCTTTGACGTAGAAATATTTTCGTAATTTTGCATTAATTTAGGTTAGAATAAGCAAAAAATATTGTATTTTGGGTTTTAATAATTTTTGGTTATGAAATACAGCATGAAACACCTGTGTCTTTTACTGCGTTTAAGGTAAAATCTTCCAAACACGGCTTCCTTCCAAATAAAAATTTTTCAAATTTGCATTTTTTTGCAGTTATTTAGATAAGAAAAACAGTTATGCATCATTGAAATCAATTATGAATAAATTTTTAAATATGAAAGAAAAAAATTCAAACTACTTCTTTTGGATTTTATTATTTTAGTATAAAAGTTTTTATTTATAAACACACTTGAATAAGCCAAGCTTGCCTGCCATTGGGAATGTTGATTTAGCTACGAATGTGAGCCTTTCGTTTGATAAGAGGACACCGCAATGTTGAAAGTATGTCTTGGCTCAGAACCCGACTGATAGATGGCAGCACTACTCATTCTTGAGGCCACTTTCTCAATTTAGACATAGATTTGAAGGGGAAGGAAATTTTCTCCAGATCCCTGTACCCATGGATCTACTCAGCGACCGTCTTACATATCGAGCACGTATATCGCATGTATTCGGTGGGTCTTAGCAGAATCGGGGATCAAACCCCGACCGCTCCAGATGCGCAAAAAGATTTGTTTTCTTGATAAGGCGAAACGCTAAATTAAAACAGCTTTACAAGCAAGCAGTAAAAAATGTAAATAAATTTTATTGACTCGTGAGTGACTTTTTGTTAAACAAATTTACATTTTTTCCAAATAAGTTATTTTATTTCGGAGAAATGGTATAATATAATAATAACATACTCACCAGCAGTGTATGAATGCTTCACATTAGCGTACGGCAATGATCTGAAATTCAGTTCAGAATCAACTAATTTGGATTGGCCGTCCCCAAAGTCAAAGTGAAATTGTATGTCTGAGCCCCGCCATACACCAGCTTCAAACACAACGGGATCTGTAGCGTACGTCTGATTCGAGTTGAGAGATTCAGTTTTGAGAGCATAAAGGGGAGCTGCGTACTGATTCAGTCTTGACCGAATATGTAACTCTTCGATGGGTTCAACAGCTTGTATGCTTACGTTGAGGTAAGTAGTGATGCTTTCGTAAGTATTAAAAACTTGCACTAAGATATCGTACGTATCAGCTACACCGTAGCTATGGATTGCAACACTAGTGTTCTTTGTACTGAAAGAAAAATAATTGGAAATTTTCAGTTTTATAATAGAATAGCTATTTTAAATAACTGAAGAAAACGATGTGTAAGATAATAATGAATGATTATAAGAAATAAATGCTATACATAGGGTTCGAGTTTTCGGGAGCGTGGTATAAATTAATGAATAATTTAAACATATTCTATCTTGATTTGGGAATAAGATTTTCAAATGAATATTTAAAATCAAACCTCAGTCTTTAGTTTGTAACATGAAAAAGTTGAAATCGCATTTCAATTTCATCGAAACTGAAAAAAAACATGTTAGTTATATTAACACGTTAAATGCCACGCTAATTTTACATGGCTTACCCGTCTGGCCAAACGGTAAATAACTACAAACAAAATTTGCAAACATTAAACAGATTTTGCTAGTTTTTTAAAAGGTTTAGCATGACATATCTAAAAAAAGTGGTGAATTATATAAGCCTACGAATTGTTTAGAAATAGTGTGGATAAAAATTTACTAAATTGAATTTATTAAACTAAGAATCACAATTAATAAACTATATATACTTGAAAATATTTATTCGCTGTCCGGAGCAAGTTGGCTTCTCTGTGTACATAAATAAAACTAGTTTTGTGTCTTCTATATTGCATTAATTTCTTCAAACCATTTTAGTAACGATAATAATGTAAAAAAATTAAAAATTGACTCGAATTATGTGTTTCTAATAATCTTTGCTTCGCCGGTCACCGGTGAAGCCACGAACAAATTCAGTGCCGGTCACCGGAGACCCCCATGGCATTCAACGTGTTAACTAATTATAAGACATTAAGTAATATTGAAAGTTTCTTTGTTCAAAATGTATCTTAAAGAGATATTTGGTATTTTCTTAAATCACTACTTTTGCAGATAAGAATAGAAAGATAAAACGATGCGAAATTTTTGCGTAATATTTCTCTACTAATTTTTATTTATTTTTTTGCATTTGACTATTTTAATCAAATGCAATACATTATACTGAGCGTGAAACATACAACCCAAAATTTATGATAGAAGTTACTTACATGTCAATGTTATTTGCATGTTAGAAAAGTGTTATTCCAATACAATAACAAGTTTTTAAGTAACTTTACACACCCTAAAATGTAAATGAATGTGCATTCACTGACGACAAGGAAGCGGACATTCTTTCATTAAACAACACTGCCTGACTCCGATGTACTTCTTGCTTCAGATTTAGTTAATAATATTTTATTACTTCGAGTGGGTAATAACAGTGGGCATATTAGGCTTAATACATCGATCTTCATTCTCGAAAACATTAAACTCTTAACTTCATCTGCCACGAAAAGAAATTCTCTCAAAGAAATATTACTGAGGTTACTTTATCTTTATTCAGTTTTCAAATCAAAAATATTGAGAGGGTCTGTTTATAAGATAAAATATATTGTGATTGGTCTATTTTCCTTATAATATATGTTGTGGAAGGTCTATTTTTACTATACATTTTTTTTGTGAGGGTCCGCTTGAACAACAAAACGGGTCCAATTTTGGTCCTAAATTTCTCCTTAAATGACATCTGGATGTTTAATGAGTGTGAGTGTTCTTAATGCCACATATTTACATAGTTTACTTTTGATGAAAAATCAAAGATGTTGACTGAAAGGTAACACTTGATCATCCAGAAAATTATAATAAACACGCTTTTAGTCACTGAAGATGAGCTCGAATTTTGTGATCAACAAAATTAAAAACTTTTTAACACCAACTGTGAAAGAAAAACTGAACCAACTGAAACTCCAAGATGATTAAAGCAAAAATTTAAAAAGAAAATCAAAATATTAAGTTAAAAAAGAAGTAATTTGACAATTAGTGCTAACCTCAAAAAGCAAAAACACCGAACAAAAAAGCAAATCGCTTAAATTTTAACACTTTATAAATTAAATTTTTCTTTAAATACTTAAACCAAACGTTTCTTTGGAAGTTGTAAAACAGTCTATCATGAATCCGAGCTCACCCGAACGAAACCTTTTTTCAGTAAATGAAAACGAGCTTGGGCTAAGCCCGTCTAAGCTTTAGTCTCAGAGAGCAGGCTCAATCCATAATAAAAAAAATGTATCCAAAACATAACAGATTAAATTCCAGCTTGAACATAATGCTAATTTAATTCAAGGATTTTCTTTTTAATCAAACATTGTGTAACAGAGTGTGTCTTCATTTCGTCATTTCCCCCCCTCCAAAATGCATCGAACTAGGCCAACATTTTATTTTTCGAATTACATTTAAAAATATTTTTCCTACTTTCTAAACAGACCTTTACAATTACATCAGACCTAGACAATTTTTAAAGTTTTTTTAATCGTTAATTTAAGTGAGATAATCTCAAATATAACGACTTTTTTAAATTTTACGACTTCTAACAAGTAAAAATAACTTATAACATTTACAGATTTATTGAACTTACATCCGTCTGTTTTATTTCTCTAAATAGAATTATTTAGTGTGTTCTTTTTATGTGTCGCTATATTTTATACTATACCAGTTTGTTTTTTGGCATTGTCTAGAATATGGCTAAATGAAATTTTTTTATTGTTTCTTTGCTAACCCTGTTTAGTTGTAGACCTTCTGAACATTCCCTAGATATTTTAAAGATTTCCTTGAATTCATACTCAACTCTTATACCATGTAAATATATTTAATTGTATTAAAATTAATATATTTCACTGTTTTTGTTTCACGTAAGGTTAACATTATGTTTCACAATTTTTATCTGTATTTCTATTATAATACACACAATACGAAGATTTATTATTTATATTAGTCTATGAATATTTTTCTAAAAATAGTGATCTATTGTTTAGGTTCAAATTATGTGTGTGTTTCTGAGAGAAAATATAATATTTTTATTACTTTTTTTATTTTCTAGATTTAAAAATTTGTAAGGAAAATTATAAGTTATTCTTCTTATTTTGGTATTTAGAACCACAGAATTGTATTAATAGTTTCAATTGACATTTTATGTTCAATATATTTTGAATACGTTTTCTATATTTTTAGAGCATCTATGATCAAGGAAGTTTTGACGTCTTTCACCCTCTATAATATTTTTTAAGTAGATAACAAATCGGGCTTATCTTAAAATCATGTTTAAAAAATATAAATTGACATAGAGAAAACTAAAATAAGGTTTGGTCAAGTTAAAAACAAATATTTCAAGTCATTGATTAAATTTCTTTAAAAACTATCGATTGTAAGAACAATTAAGTAAACTTTTGCGACTGTTCCAAACCTATATAATCAGCGATCATTTTAGAAAAACTTAGGGGTCCAGACACTTCAGAATTTTTTTTAAACGTTTAAAGTTGCACTTCAAAAATATTTTACATGAAAAACGACTTTAAACAATATTTTTAATTTAAAAAATGTACTTTTTTCAAGATCTTCGTTTGTAAAACGGAGTACCACATCTTTAATTCATAATTTGAAAACTACAACTTCTTGTTAACTGTAAAAACTGCGTAATACCTCTCCGAATATGACGTTGCACAACCCAAAAAGTTGAGCTAAAGAACACTTTATGCTGAGTTAACATAAAATTGAGCGCTCATATACGATAGAATGGCTGCAATTTAAATCTAAACACTTAAGAGTATTCTTAAGCCAAACTCGCGCACTTTCACACCATACAAGAATTATCTTCCCTTCCGAAAACACCATGTTGGCGAGCTTTGAATATCAAAAATTTAAGAAATGTCAAGTAGACTATTACCCATAGTTTGTTTGCAATCTAGAATGAACTGTCAAGAGTTTATTGTAGTTTGCTACTTTGATGTTCACTAGCAAAAAGAAAAATCACAGCTAAAATATGTGTGCATGTTTTTAGTAGTGTAATAAGGATAATTATATTTTAATATTTAAATGTCCAAAAAACAGCATTAAATGGTTTTACAATCTATAATTTTTATCTACTGTTGTTCTGTTAAGCCTAGTTCGAACATTCTCTTTGTGCTATGCGTTTGTTTGATTTACAAACTAATTTTATTTTAAGAATTGGTGTATATATACATTCTAAATTAATGATTCTTACTTTTTACTGCATTAAAAAATAACTTTAGTTGATTCGTATGAGCATCTTATATCACTGTAATTATAAATTTTTGTGTTGTTGAGCAGCAAAAATGGTGCCAGCTACTTTACACAGAGTGGTATAAAAGAACACAGATGTACTGAAGCACTAGATCCAAAAGTTATGAGTGGCGTTTCACTACAAGACTTAGATGTAAAGTAGTTTCCAGCATTTTTAGCGTTGAGATACATAAAAAGTTTTCACAGTGTCAGGCACGATTTTTCAGTTTTTCTCCACTAAAACAGTGCCTTATTTACCAATAAGCGCAAAAACAAGATCCAGACAAAGAACCGCTTTATGAGCCCAGATAATACAGCATTGGAGTAACATTTTAAATATTAAAAAATTGCATTATATATTAGGTTATATTATATACAAAAATTATATTAGTTTTTCATGTTTGCAAAACTAAAGCTTTTTTCTTTTTCACATTGATATTTTGCATCAAATTTAAAAATTAGCATAGATATATGTAGCTGAGTAAAAAGAGACTAAGTTACTCTATGGGGTACTACACTTAACCTAACAGTCCTGATAACTATTGCAATTTCACAGCAGTAACAAAAATATATTATTTGCTAAAACACAAGAGAAGTTAAATTTCTCATATATATACAAGAACAAAAAATCCACACTCATCGTAGATCGATGCTACTTTGACCCAGAAGAAAGAAATTTTTTTTTTTTAAATTTTCTTACGTAAGTCAAAATATTTAGGTGGAATTTTTGATTTTAAAACATAGAAAGAAGAAAAAGTGTTTTGGAATTTATATATTGTTGTAGTAGCTGCACAGGTGTTGTAAACATTGCATAACCTTAAAAGATTTTTTATCTTTGCAGAATTTAACTGTATATCTACAATAGAAAACTAAAATTTAAAGATTAAAAAAAAACAGTTTTACAGGGCCCGTATTAAGTATTTCAAATTATTAGCCAGTAAATTAGCCAAATATCAAAAGTATTAGCCAAATTTTAAAATTTTTAGCCAAAGGCAAATCTTAAAAATTTCTTTTGATTGATTTTTTAACATTGAAAACTTCGAATCAAAATACAAATTTACTATAAATTGAATTATTTTATAAAATGCAAATTCAAATCGAGAGTCATTTTGCAATTTGAAATAGTAAAGGAACAATGAATGGTAGAGAGGATGAGAAATGTAGATGTTTCATATCGTCTTTAAGGGAAAGAAATAGGAAAATGTTGGGGTTAATTTTTGATAACTTCTAAGACTAAAGCAGTAACATAAGGATAAACCTTAGGCAACATGTTATTGTATGTGTTATTATCGCGAGAAAATATATTTCCAGCAAAACTATGTAATTGGATGATAATATGCATCTTGCTACCATATAATCTGTTTTATTGACACAAACTGTGGGAAATATTTGTGACGTGATATAGCGTGATTCGGTAACGAACAACTTGGTAATCTGTAGTTTGTGGTAGTTAGTCTCATGCTCACATAATCTCTTTTGTTACTTACATTGTCTGCAATTAACATAATTTTAATTGGTTTTGCGACTTTCACTTATCTAACGGAAATTACTGTAATCGAATAAAAAATACAGGATTTGTTGAGAAAAATTCTCTTTTTTTTCAGGATTGAGGGAATATATATATATTAAATACTTAAACCAAACNCATCGAACATAGCAATTTCTATTATTGAACGAGATTTAGAGAATTGTTGACTAGACGTGGGTCTTATTCCCGCTGTCAAAATTTCTGGACACAATCTCTTTATTTTATTTCACACACACACACACACACACACACACATATATATATATATATATATATATATCAGCTCCGACAAAGGTTACTTTGAATCAAAATTCTAAAACGCCCTAAATTTTTTAAGGCCATTTTAGCTTTCAGGTCTACTGGCCTGTGTAGGGGTTAGGGAACTGCCCTGACATCAGAAAGGTTCTATGTTCGAATCCCGGGCAAGGAATGGATGTTCTTTACTTCTCTGTACTGTCTGTCCTTACTGTGGGAACAATGTTGGCCCACCTAATATGGTGCCCCTGAAAGAGAGGCCAACAAAACCGCCCTGTAAATGCCTGAATTGACGAAAAATGTTAACACAGGTGGACATTGGAATTTTTATTTTTTTAAAGCTTACAGTGAACTCATCATCATTTATTTAAAACACACGTTTTAAATGGTTAACCAGAAAACCCTTTTACAGGGTTCCCGCTGGTCTCGTAAATTTTTAAAAGTGGCAACGAAAATTAAACAAATGTTGATAATTTAATTTCTGTGTAACTACCACCAAAAATTGTTTTCCAAAGAAAGTATATATACAATAAAATTCCAGCTTCCAAAATACTTAATGACGAAGTGGTATATTAAAATAAGAAATATCTTTTAGCATTAACTTAATTTTACTACCACTACTAAAATTTTTTAAAGAACTCGGGAATCCAGCTTTACGGTTATTTCCTTTTTGTTGTTGTTTTAATTACATTAAAATTTCAAAAAGAAGAAGAAAAGAACAGCCGAAGTAGCTGAGGTTTATGGTACTTAAGAGCTTAAAATAATTGTAGAACAATATCAATTTTCATTTTCAGAAAATACAGTGGAACCTCGATCCATCGTTTCTCATGGGTTCATTCATTGCGAACGATAGATGCGGAAAACGGTAAATGCAGGTCGGCCTAAAATATTAAGTAATGACTTGAAAATGTATGAGAAGTAATGGATTTGAATATTAATAAATTTGCAATAATAGAAAAAAAATTATGACCATTATGCAAAAATATGCAAAGAATGAACACATTTGTTTAAAATATTTGAAAATTTTGGTTTGAATTATTTCTACTCAGTGCAAAAATAAAAATTTCTAAATTTGTAACACACTCGCATAAATACAGAATATTCCTTCTGTAAATGTTGGCACTGGTTGTGGTTCCGTTTCACCTTCTTCACTTTGCACTCGGTATCACTTTCGCAACTGTTTCTTGAACCTACAACACCACAAGTTTCAAAATTTTCACAAAACTGTAAAACAAATCCTTGTATTTTCCTTATTAGCTTCAGAAATTACTATTTTCTTTTCAAAACGAAAAAAAAAATCGATATTTTATGTCGGTAGAATTTTTATAGATGCGGGAAATTTTTAGTTTTAAAAAAAAAACCTTATATAACATATATGTTTAACATTATAAGAATGGATGGTGTTTTCTACACTACGGAACGCTGCAAGCTCTATATCGCCTATGCTTCTGGGTTACTGCATCACGTGTATTTTAAAGCCATATGTGATATGGCTCACAACGTGAACATTGTGATTTGAGATTCTTGCTAACGTGGTATTTGATTGCTTATTACTTGTGTTTACAATGCTAAAGGTGCTAACACTAACGTAAGATGGTGCACAGCTTGCAACAAGAACAAACATCAATAAACAAATTGAAAGAGGAAAAATTAGGACTGCCAAAAAAAGCGAGTTATTCAAAATCAAGCATACATTTTTAACAATATATCTATAAATAANATTGCTAACGTGGTATTTGATTGCTTATTACTTGTGTTTACAATGCTAAAGGTGCTAACACTAACGCAAGATGGTGCACAGCTTGCAACAAGAACAAACAGCAATAAACAAATTGAAAGAGGAAAAATTAGGACTGCCAAAAAAGCGAGTTATTCAAAATCAAGCAACCATTTTACATTTTTTAACAATATATCTACAAATAACTAAAACAAATTTTCACTTCAAACTCACCAGAATTAATAACATTAATATCTTATGAAATACGGCAGATTTGAGCACAGAAATTATCTAATTTACTTCTTTTATTGAAAACAAAATTATCCGTTTGAAAATATAGCCTCGCAGAATAAGCAGTTGCAAACTTTCTAACCGGAACTAGAGCAGGTATTGAGCTCGAGATTGTTATTGTTTAAATTTATATTGAAAACACCATCCATAGCATTTCTGACTGGGCCATTTAAACAAGACGATACAGACGGGAAAACGGAAGTTGCGGGAATATTGGATCGAGGTTCTATTGTATTAAATAGTTAGATTTTTTCTCAAAGGTCCTTACCTATTTACAGCTGTGTATAGTCCATCAGTTCCATCGCCAAAATCCCACATAAAATCTAAATTAGTCCCACTTTCCACGGTACACACTACTATCACATCCTCAAGAAGGGCGACAACTGATGGCGAAAGTAATTCCAAACTGATGTCAAATATAGGTTCTTCCACACTGGCAACAGTCCAGAGCTCAACGCTACTGACAGAGTTCGATACATTGAAATACACGTTGTGTAATCCAGGAGAAGAAAAAACATGGTGCACAGTAAAAACTGACTCGTTATGCTGCAACGTTTCATAAGAAAAAGCGCTTTCGTTATAACGTGAATCATATTTGCTGTCGCCGAAGTCCACAAAAACGACATCTGGAGGATCAGGCTGGTTCAGGAAAACACTAAGCCAACTCTCGCGGTCTACTAATAGATTCGAAAAGGTGTAGTTCAGAGCGATTAGAGTAACGGCAGCCTTAACCAACATGGATGTCTTCGCATGTCCAAAGGAATTACTAACTGTAAGTTTCAACTCATGGGTACCAGGAGGAATTTCTTCATGGATGGTTAACTGAAATATAAATAAGAGAACTTTAGATACTAATGTATTGCTTCAATTAAATTTCTTAGAATGGCACATCTAATTTAATTATTAATATCGTTTACAAGCTTCTGTGATTCAAAAAGCAAGTTCAACTTGGACGCAAACATGGATCAATTTAACACCTTATTAGGTTGCAGCAAATTGGCACTGTATGTCAAGTATGTATGTATGTACAATGCGCAAAATGTATACAGATCACCCTGAATAACTTTTGACCTAATGATCAGACTTACACGTTCCAGGACTCAATCTTAATGTTTTGAGGGTGTGACCTCAATAAGCAAATTAATTAGAGCAAACGATTTATTAAGTTACGAAATTTGACTCTTCAAATTATAGAGGGTAGATGCAATATGGGAAATATGGTCCTAATAGTTTGGCCAGGAGAACGGTCCAAATTTAGACCTCTTCTAATTATTAATTTTACTTTAATTATTATTAATTTTAATTTTACTTTCTGCTTATTTCACCCTATCTCGAGAATTTTTTAAGTGAATTGAAAAATCTTTGCACACAATTACAAAATTCGTTTATCCAAAGACAATTCTATATAAAATGTACTTATGGTAAATTTTTATTATTTTATTTAATAACAGTCAAAAAATTTTTTTAGATCATGTTAAGGAATGTAATTTTACATGGCATAATAAGTACAAAATTTGAGGGAAATCGGCTGAATAGTTTCTGGGAAATCGAATTGTAAAGAAATCGTGTTTTTAAAATTCAATTTCTCAGGAAATATTGGACTGATTTTGCTCATATTTTGTATTTTGTTATGTAAAAGTACATTCTTTAAAGTAATGAAATACATTGTGTACCCTACAATTCAAAATTTTCTGACTATTATTAAAAAAATATATATATATGGGTCATTCTCACAAAAACAGACATTTTCATGTCCCCAGTATATTTTATGTTTGTTTTACAGCTTACGAAAAAGAAAAATTCAGGGAAAGTGTCCTTCAGAATGCAAGCTAACAAAAGAATAAAAATAAAATTATCAATTTTTATTTTTTATTTATTTTGGGTAATTAAAATATACCAATATGTCATTCCCTCACTTGTCCCCACTGCTGATTTAAAAAAAGAAAAAAATTGTTTCTGAAATANTTTGTACCGTATGTAAAAAGCTAAATTGAACATTATTTCTATTCAAGCTCAACCATAGTACAGTGTACTAAATATGACAGACACTACGCACAACTTACACTTTAAAAAAAGATTTCTCAAAATTTACCAATAATGTGTCATAATAGCTTATCGACAATTTTGACCAATTTGGAAACCCATATACTCATTACAGGGGTCTGTTTAGAAGAGATTTGGGTCCGTTAACGGAATCTTCACAAATTTCATAAAAACGGATCCGTCACAAAATATTTTAACTTAAAAACGGACCCTTCACAAAATAATTTTTCTTTTAATCGAACCCTTCACATATTTGTTTATCTTCATTATTGTTTTGTTAATCGAATAAAACCTTCCCAGGAAGGGGGTGGGGAAGAAAGACAGATGTAAACGAACTAAATTTTGTCTTCGGTAGAGGCATCTTCCTTTACTCGTCCGAAATGAATATTCTGCATTCAGCAGTATAGGCTAAATACCAAATATTTATATGTTGCATCGTTAATTTAGTAGCTGCAATTGCTGTTTATTTTTTAAAATATGATTTTTTAAATTATAATTTTACAGTGTTGAGCATAATCTTGCATGTCTTAACAATTTAAAAAAGCCTTGAAAAAGTTTTTTTTTTGCAATAACGGATCCTATTTTGCACAAATTCATAAAAGCGGACCCTGGTTGAAAGAATGTGACTTAATGTTTATTTTATATTCACAAATTATGAGTAATTTTTTCACAATTTTACAAAAACGGACCTTTCACAAAATTTCTGGACAGACCCCTGACTCATTAACAAACATAGTAAAATACTATAAAATGCTGTTTTCAACGGAATAGGGGAAATAAGGCTAAGTAGCATCTGTAACCAATGTTACTACTCCACTAAAAAAATCAAAACAACTTTCTTCCATGTTGATTCAGTAAAAAAAGAAAATGTTGAAAGCTTGATAGATGGTTTATTTTGTTTAGTCAGAAGTAGAAGCACGAGTTAAAATTTATGACCCAAAAAGAGAGATTTTGAGCGAACAAATTTGTAAGCATTAATATATAGAAGTCTAACAGACAGATATATTTTAATATGTGAAATAAGAAACTCATTTTTTATGGTATTTTTTTAGATGCATTAAATTTTCAACTAGTATGCTTTTTTAATGAATATACTGATGAAAAATTAATGCCTTTTGATGATAAGCAATCATTTGTAGAAGATTTATACATTAAATCTGTCACTCAAGTTTCCAGAACTTTCTAAATAATATTAATCAAGAGAACTACTAAGACGTATTTTAAAGATAGAACAGCTTGTTAAGCGCTTTAAGGTTGGAAAAAAAAACATAAGAGAAAATAAAAGTAGTTAGTCATTTTTTGAGAAAAAAAATGCTTTTTCAATATTATTATTTCAGTTATTTTCTTAAAATTTTTAAACTAATTAAATAAAATGTAATTAAAATGCTATCATGAATAGTAATAAAATATTAATTTATAATAATAGCATGAGCACAAATACCGACTTTCAGCAAAATGTTAAACAAAAGCTGCTCTTAATTTGTTTACACGATGAGCCAGGCTATACATTTTTTAAACTTAAATTTTAAAACTTATTAAAAAAACTTTAAGTTTTTTTAAGAGTTTTTTATTTGTTGACAGTATCTAAAATAGAATGTACTAAAAGATTAAAACAAGATGAATGTTTTCCAGCAATGTTTAAAATATTGAAAATTCTTAACAAAATTGAAATTTTCTAAGTTAATTTTTTCTTGTGAACAAATAAAAATGAGATTAACAGCTTCAACTGCTCTCTCATTTGAAGCACATTAAAAAGTTCAGGTAATTAACATCGAATCACTTAAAATCGTCATTACTTTAGCACACAAGACAACAATACTTTATTTGTACTTATGTATATATACTACATATATATATTTATACTTTATTGTATTTATGAAGATATCAATCATAATAATTAACTTACTTTTGAGAACTTTGAAATTCTTCGAACATTTTGAAATGACCAAATAAAAACAATGCCAGGAGATGACGGCTTAACCTCTGCTTCCCATTGTTGACGAAGGGGGATTCTGAAAAAAAAAATTAAATAAACTAAAATTTTTATTTCTTATAACAAAATGTTTATTAATATTAATTAAATTACTACAAAATTAATTTGAACAATGTATAAACGAGATAAGTTGATCAAGTGAGTAATCTTTTAGCATAAGATATGGTTTAAAGAGAGATGGAATATCAAATCTAGCAGTTTATTATGTCAATTATTAATTAATTTTTATGAAAGAAGAAGTACTTTTGAAATTTCACGACTTAAAAAATTTGTTTAGAGGTGAAGAAAAAAACTTTTAATGCTAATTCATATCAAAAACAGGGGAATATAATTTGGATTGTTAATAAAAAAAATCTTAGTGTACCCAAGATATTTGCTATTAGGTGCACTATTATTTTTTTTATATAAATTGTTGACTTTAGAAAAAGTATAAACTATTATTATAATTAGTAATAAAATGAAAACCTATCACAAGAAAATAATCTCTTATTGAAGCAAATAGATATATTTCATTATATGATTCAACATACACAACAGAACTTAAACCATCGCTTATCAAAGAAGCCCTTTTTTGAAAGCTGGCATTCGAGGTAGGGTATTGGTTAGTTGTCCAAAATGTCAGATTTAATTGTCTTGATTCATTCAAACAAATGATCTTAGTCGGTAATACCAACATAATATTTCTGACACACAAGTAATAATGATTAATCTAACGTCATGAGTATGATTCAGTGAACAAAATTGAGGTCCAAAATTTTCGCTCTTTAGAAAAATTAGTTTCAACCTTTTTTACTATCAATGTTTTACATAAAAGCTGCTTTACAAGTAACAGCAACGTTAATATTGCATTAAAATATTTTTCTTTAAAACTAAATAAAAAAAAAACGGTTTGTGCATTGAAATTCCACTAAGTTCAAAGGGTTTCAAAACTCAAATATAGAAATGTTTAGAAACAGCTTGAAACATTCCAAAAAACATTTAATAGATCAATGATTGACACTAATGAATGAAAACAGTTCTACAAGCAATTACGTGAAGTAGTGCATTTGAATAGTTTTAAAAAGAAATACAAATGTAAGGGTGTAAAGATATTAATGGATGATTACGTACTAAATTCAAGATTCAAATGCTTTGAAAATTCAATTAAAGAAAGGTTAGACACATTTTGAATTTCTAGAAACATTCAAAATAGTATGGTCAAACAAACCTATCCATTCAAAGCTACATAAAATTTAAATTAAAATATTAAGCTTCTTATTTGTCGGACATGCATTTTTAATGCTCCCTCCCCAAAGTTGTCTAGACGCATTAAGCACAGTAATTAATGAGTGTCATATTGAAAGAATGCTTCGTAAATGCTCCAATTTCATAAGCTTTTATTGTACCCCAAAGATATCAGCGAAAATAAGCCATATATGTATTTATAATGCAACATTCATTAACTTATCTTCACTTCAAACTTCATGGTATTCTCGAAACACTGTGTATTCATATAAAAAGAATATAAAAAGTCACATTTGGTGCGGAAGTTAGTGCTTATGTCTATAAAAATGACTCGAAGATAAGAACCATTTATAAAATGGTATAAACTCTTTTAATACATTTGAGAAGATAGAATAACAGTAACCGTTCATAAATAACTTACTATCTGTGATTCAGAATTCATGTATTGTCGGTTATGCAGAATAATTTTTTTAACTCACTCGAGACAAATGCGAACGATATTTGCATGCACTGAAACCTGTTTTGTTTTTACTTAATTCTATTCTCTTTTAAGACCCCAAAACCGATATAATGCCATCAAATAAAGGGGTTTCTGTAAGTGGGAGGGGGCGTTAAAGATCTCAGTTAACTCGCTTAATGACCGTGTTTATGATGTCATAAAAATGGGGAATGAAGCTATACAGAAAGGATTTTGCGAACTCAAAGTATATGTATAAAAAAGGCCAAAACATACTTTTCACTCAACCGCAGTTGCAGTTAGTGAAAAATATAACAACCAAAAGGCTGTTGAAAATAGGTTCCAGTTTATTTAAGTATAGTGAATCGATCAAGTATAATCAGATTTAGCGCCAGCGAGATAAGACGAACCGAGTTTTATTACTCTACAGGGATTGCAGATATCATGCAGATTAAAATATAAATATTTAATAGGTTTCTTGATCGCATGGAAAAAGAAGTTTTAGAATTTATTCATAGACTGAATTATAACAATACATTTCTATATTTGAATTTAGTACTAGTTATACATTTGTGTTTATGCATAATCCTCAGTTTTGTATTTTATTTTTTATTTTATAACCATCGTTGAACAGCCGACTCAATTTTGAATTTACAATTACTAATGTTCAACTCCATATAGCCTTGTATTTTTGAATCCAACCCAGAAGACAAGGGAACTCCTGGATCAAGCATAGGGAGGAATTTGCCTTCGTGGAGGTATTTTGATGGAGCTAACTCGCATTTGCGTTACATGGATAGGAAAACCACGAGAACTTCCCATAGTTAGCTGACGGGAACGGGAATCTAACCCATGATCCGTCTACCACTGAGGATATTTTACGTCAGTACGGTGGTTGGTGCGAACCGGGTACGGAATTCGTATTGACCAGCCATCTCAGAGATTCGAACCCGGTTCATCTCCTTCGAAGGCGAATGCTCTATCCCCTGAGCCACAACGGTCCTCAGTTCTGTATTAATGCAAGCGCTAGTTATATATTTGGTTTGTTATATATTTAGTTATATATTTAAATTGGGTTATAAATTTAGTTAGGTTACATCACTTTTAGAGTCATTTAAAGCAATCAATCTACTACTTTAATCTACTACTTTAATCTACTACTTTTAATCTACTATTTTTCGTTTTTGCAGAATAAATAATTTATCAAAGATACGAACCTTACAAAAATGTCAAATTCAAAACTTTGGCGATGAAAAAAAGAAGATTGTTTTGTATCAAAACCAATGATATGATATTTTGACTGTTGAAGCATAGAAATCAGTAAAAAAATATTATTTTAAAGCAATATAGAGCGCTACTAGTACGGAGTAATTTTGGAGTTAAGTTTGGAGTAATTTTGTGTCAAAATATTTGTTGTTTTTGGGGCATATTGGGGAAATTTGAGCAGCAATCACATCATCGTAATTTGTTACTTGAAAAAAAAATTTAACAGAACTAATTTTGTTAATTATTATTTTTTTTTATCATTAAGCTACTGTTAAAAACATCATTCCTTCTTTAAATTAAAAAGAAATAACAAAAGGGAAAAAAAAACTTTAACAGTTTAAAAAATAATTAATTAGTTAATATTCCAGCATTTAATTTAAATTTGTTATCAAATTCGAGACTTTCTTAATCAAGTAATTTTATGGCAGAGTTTCAAACTCAGTGAATTTGCCGCTTAACATTTTTGTATAAAAGTAATTTAGTTGTTGATCCTCCAATTTACAATTAAAAATTTTAATCTAGAGTTACTGTATTGCTGATTGAAATCAATCGTTAAAATCAGATGAAAGAAACAATAATAAATGTGAAATTACAAAACTGCACCCTACAAGATTTGTAACTGCATTTGTTAAAAATAACAAATAAACGCATGTTTCCGAATTCTTTTCCATCAAAATTTGATAGTGTAAATTTGATATTAGAGTTGCGTTTTTGATGAAATGACTAATTTCCAAAAAGCTTAAAACATTGAATTCTGCGGATAAAGTTATGTGCCTGAATCATGCGAAAAATATAAGTAGAACTACACCAAGTCGAATCGAATTTTGATAATCTAACTATCGAATTTTGCGATTATGCTAGGATAATTAATAAAAACAAAATATGTTGAAATGAAAATTTAAAACTTGATTCTTCAAATTATCTAAAACAAAAGATGCTAGAACGAAAACCTAAACCTTTTGGTTCTTCTAATTATTTAGAACTAAAATAGTTGGAGCGAAAATCTAAATCTCTCGATTCTTCAAATTATTTAATACAAAAAGGTGTTGGAATACAAATCTAAACCTTCCGATTCTTCTAATTATTTAAAACAAAAAGATGTTGAATTACAAATCTAAATCTTCCGTTTCTTCAAATTATTTAATACAAAAAGATGTTGGAATATAAATCTAAATCTTCCGATTCTTCTAATTATTTAAAACAAAAAGATGTTGAATTACAAATCTAAATCTTCTGATTCTTCTAATTATTTAAAACAAAAAGATGTTGGAATACAAATCCAAATCTTCCGATTTTTCAAATTATTTAATACAAAAAGATGTTGGAATACAAATCTAAATCTTCCGATTCTTCAAATTATTTAAAACAAAAAGATGTTGGAATACAAGTTTAAAACTTCCGATACTTCAAATTATTTAATACAAAAAGATGTTGGAATACAAATCTAAATCTTCCGATTCTTCTAATTATTTAAAGCAAAAAGATGTTGGAATACAAATCTAAATCTTCCGATTCTTCTAATTATTTAAAACAAAAAGATGTGGGAATACAAATTTAAAACTTCCGATTCTTCAAAATTATTTAATACAAAAAGATGTTGGAATAAAAATCTTAACCTTCCGATATTTTAAACTTATCATTTTAAAAATCCGCTTTCGTATCCTTAAAAAGCGTTATGTTCTGAATCCACATAAAAATCAGGACATCTACGAACCCAGCCAAGATAAGGTTACAGAAAAATTGAACAACACTACGGTTCAGCATGCTTTAAAACTTTTAACAGTGAATAGTAAATGCGATTGAAAAGCCTCCGAAAAACTGAAGTAGAAAAAGTGGATGTTCAAGAATAACAAATGTTTAAAAATAATTTTTAAAAAATTTCTGGCTGAACACTTTTTCAAATAAAGACATATTAATAAGGGTAAAGCCCATTCATGAGGAACTTTTGAAGAGAAGATGTAGATGGACATATCCTTCATCTAAAACGGGATGGCCCAGCTAACATCGCACTTACTAGGGCACCAGATGGTAA